CAGAATTATCATGAAACAGACAGCGGCATTACAGAGCAGGGCACAAACGCACCATCTCCACTTTTTCCATTTATATCCATCTGAAGGACTGATCAAAAAGCACCCTCGCTGAGACGTCCTCCTCTAGGGACCAATCTGTGCGCTCAGCCTACATTTGTAATTTTAAGAGAGCAGATTTGAGTCGGCAAATGGAAACGTTTTTTCTTCTGTATTGGCCTCAGTATCTCGCCAAACCTTGAGTATGCTCAAGCTAAATTAAAGAGCTGCATTAGCTGGAGAGTGCTGCTAATCACAGAGCCTCTGCAGGTTCAGGCGTATACACAGCACTCCCTCTCAGCTAGACCTCATTTACCAACCTGGACAAAGCAAGTAAATTAACAGTGATGTGAGCTTCAAAGTGCCTTACCAGTTCATCACTGTGGGTAAGGAAACAACTTTAAATGAGCTTTGAAAGAGGTGAGACTAGACTCCAAAGCAGACTGTAATGACGAGATTACATACACGTTCATTTTATTACAGTGCCAAAGACCAGTATACAGACCTATAGTGCTGCACTGATACCGATACTGTTTTGGTATCGATGCTGATACTGGCACTTAAAAGCAGTATCATTATCGGTGATGGGGATTCTGACGCGAGCATGCGCGCCACACGTCAGCGGTGTGGGACGACAAGCAGCAGTAAAAACGGCCATGGCAGAATCTCTAACTGCAGTTTTTGGTGTGAAAAACATGCTAATGGAGCCACTTAGCTGAACAATTGAGCTGCTGCTTTCAGTAATCAATCTTCTGCTGCTTTGTGGTCACTTACAGTCTGAGTTAATGTTACTGAGAGAGCGGAAGAAACTGCTGGACTCTCTGTGTAATGATAGCATTTAGCCTTGATTTAGCCTTTAGCATAGCAGCCTGCTAGCCGGGCCTGTGCGTCCACTATCCCCTGCCTGCGGTGTGCCTCTGTCGATCAGCTGTATCAGTCAGCAGCGGTGTCTCGCTGCCTGTCGCTTCAATCAAGCCAGAAAAAAACACTCAAAGATGCTGATAGTGTCAGCGTGAACGATGGTGATATTTACTGAACTGACGCTCAGAGATGCAGCGCGAGTGAACAAGATGCACGTATGAGACAAATAACTTGAGAAATTTGGATGTGAAACAACATTCAGCTCCGATTTTGAGCCAGAGAAGCTGCTGTGTGCTGATGTGTAAACACCACACATTTATCTGTTTACTGTTCAGTTCTGTTTTTAACTGTTTTGCACAATAAAGATATTTTACATGTACTTAAGTTGTTAAATATGGTTCTTATTACTAATTATATTATAGTAAATACTAAATACATACCGTAAATAAACAAAAATCTGTTTTCTTAAGCATCTAATGAATATAATCCAACAAGTAAATGCCATCTATCTGAACATTGAACATAGATTTTACCAAAATAAAGTATTTTTTAAATGTAATTGTATAAATATCAGGACATATAAGCGAATTAGGTTAGATAGAGTTAGTATCAGTATTGGTACTCAGTATCGGTCGATACTAAAGGATCAGGTTTCGGTATCAGTATCAGAAAGGAAAAAGTGATATCAGTGCATCTCTGGTGAGTTATGTGCAGTTAATATTTACAGCCATTTATTACTATTATTCTCGCTATTGTTTTGCTTCACTATTTAATTGTGATGTAATTGTGTATATAGCGAATTCTCAACTGCAACTTCTAAGGGTTAAAGGGGAATTCCCATTTGTTGTCGACCACCTACCACCAACATGTAAACACAGCATAAGTGCATTTAAAGAGTCAATTCACATAGAAATAGAGCAGGCATGTCGGTGTTGATAGGTATCAGTATTGGGCTGATATCATATTTATATTGATTAGTTTACACAGTAGCCACGTTTACATACATCCTAATAATCCATTAATAATCCGACTAATAGCTCAATTGGAATAGAATACGCCAATGTATGCACCTCAATCGGAATAGACTAGTCCCATTGAAGCCATTCGGAATACAGTTGCTATCTGATTGAACGAGGTGGGTAATGCTGTAAATAATAAGTTAAATAGAAGAATAATACCCGTGTGAACGCTTCTGATTATATATTATGTATCTGATTATATTCCCTATCAGAAAGTTTATAACGTTCAACATGGCGGAGCAGAAACTGGTCTGTAGAGGAGACGAAATTTATGCTCTGATCTTTAAAAGACGGCGGTGGGACGGACGTCCAGCTTATGTGTCTCAGAACACGACGTCTTCCTCTCGGCCTTCTTTAATAAGGACATGTGAAGGACGTTTCCCTGAGTCTGACATCATTTTAAAGTAAGTAAAAACACAAGCACTGCTCACTGCTGCTCATCTCACTCTGACTGGACTCATGCGATGCTCGTTTTCATGGTAAGCTCTAAACTAAGCGTACACTACACATGCGTGAAATTTTGGACTGGATTTTTTGTCGTATGCATGTAAACTGAGATTTTCCATCAGATTGTTGAGTAAAGTGAGCATAAACACCTCAGTCTAAATCTGTAATTGGAATGTATTTGGCAAAAATCTTTGCATGTGAACACAGCCAGTGTTCTTCTAAAGCATCTCCCCAAAGGAAGAAGCTGGTATTCCTGATGTAGGATGTGAAGGGGTCCAGACGAGCAGGTCAGACGTGCGTGCGAAGAGTGTTTATTCCAGACAGGCTGACAAGGCCTGAGATGAGACACAGCAAATGGATACGCACAGGCAAGAGAAAATTGTAGGCTATGTCCAAAACAATGCTCTGTTCACTGCATAGTGCTCTGTTCTGGGGAGTCTGCCATTTTGTAGTGGTCCAAAAACATAGTAGAGAATATCCAGTGCACTCTTAGGGGCTGTTTACTGTTTGAACATGCATTTTCAGTGATCCGATTATTCGAATTGTACTTGACTGCAGGAGAAGCTTAAGCAGTGTGTCCTACACCCAGGACACACTGGCCCTTATTCAGTCAACGCTGCATACAATCAAATCTGAACACAAAATGAGTACATGCAAATCACATCTTAATTTTGTTATCCATCAGTTTTATCTTTGGCGTATCTGTATGATCAAACTCACGTGTGGTTAGGAGTGCGTGTTATTTTTGTGTGCGTCATTACACCCTCAGTGGCCACTTTATTAGAAACCCCTCTCTCGTAGCTCCACCTTGCTGGTGTGCAGTCAGAGACTGTAGCTCATCTGTTGGTCATACTCTAGACCTTCATCAATAGTCAGTTTCTGACCACAGAGCTGCTCTTGTCTGGATATTTTTGGGTGTTGGTCCACTCTCAACCTAGCAACACCGCTGTGTTTGATACACTCGTACCAGCACCACACACACTACCATATCAGTGCTCCACCCAAAAATATCTGGACAGCAGCAGTTCTGTGTTCAAGAACTGACCAGTGATGAATGGAGTAGAGGGGGAGCTGTTAAGCTGCAGCAACAGATGAGCTACAGTCTGTAACTGTACACCTGCATAGTGGAGCTATATGGTAGGCAGAGCTCATAAAGAGGCCAAAGAGAGGATGTAGAAGGTGTGTCTTATTAAGTGGACAGTAAGCGGATGTACATAATCAGGGTTTCTAATTAAGCGGCCAATTAGTGGAAGTACAAGATTGGTGCTTTAATAAAGTGGCCAGTTATTGGAAGTACAAACTAAGTGTTTCTAATAAAGTGGGCAGTTAGTGGAAGTACAAGGCAGGTGTTTCTAATAAAGTGGCCAATTAGCGGAAGTAATAGATATATGTTTCTAATAAAGTGGCCAATAAGTGGAAGTAAAAGGTATGTTTCTAATAAAGTGGCCAATTAGTAGAAGTACAAGATCTGTGCTTCTAATAAAGTGGCCAATTAGTGGAAGTACAAGATCGGTGTTTCTAATAAAGTGGCCGGCAAGTGGTTATTTATCATATTTATTCATTTCTATGCATTCCTTATTAGACAGTAGAGCATTTGCTTGAGTACAGTTCTTTTAAATGGCCATCTAAGGTGAATAGCTCATATATCACATTTTAAAAATAAGCAGTTACAAAAATAATAAAAATATTGTTTCGATATTGGTATCAGCCAGTGTTTCAGTATCGGCACTGTAAAGAAACAGCAATATCGTGCCATCTCTAGTGAACTGATCTGTGTTTAATTGCTTTTTAAAACATCTGCAGTAAAATAATCCTGATAATACTGATTAACAGAGATCATTTAGCACATTTTAGTACATTTTACCATACAGTACATCCCATCCTTAATTATGACCACTGAAAGGATCATAAGCTCTGAGTGGCTGCAGCCCTGCGCTCTACACGCATGTTGGCCATTCCTCAGGAGCTTACCTGTCCTATTTCCATTCCTGCACTGTGCGCTATGGTAACCAGGCCACGGCTCATGTGTGCATGTGGCAGACTGTGTTAAAACAGGTTCCTTCCTATGCTTAGAACATTCATGCCAAAGGCTGAGGAGGAAACAACATTAAGTACAACCCAAAATCACCTGTTTTTCTTCTTCCTATTATCACGACATGCCAAGTCATTGTGCACGGACTGGGAATTAAGACGAGCGAAGCTGCAAGCAAGACAGACTGCCCACAGCTATTCAGCGCTGATGGATTGAGGTCCAGCAGGGAGTGAAAAGCTAATTATGCCAGTTCACTTGATGCCCATTCAAACGTTCATTTAAACGTGGCTGGTATCAGATTAACAGTGCATTCCTGGATGTCACCAAGCTTACAGGACTTCCATAAACAGGTAGTCTGTTTGTATAAGCCACTGTAATGACCAGTAGCTCAAAATACATCACACCAGTTCATACGATGCCCATTAAATCGTCCATTTAAAGCTGCCTGCTTTCTGAATGACAATGCCTCTCTAAACCCCACAGAGCGATCAGTGCTTCCACGAACAGGTAGTCCAGTCTTTACCCCACTGGCATGACCAGTAGCCAAAAACATCCCACCTGTCAGCCACACTGGCGCTGTGCCAACATGCCCCCAGTTCACCTACCTCCACAAAATAGAAGCAGGGCAGCAGGGTGACGCTGTCTTTGCTCATCTTGCTCTTGAGCCTCTCTTTCGCAGCCATGCCGAACGCTCGGGGTGCCTCCCCAGGTGCTTCTGAACGGAGAGGGGGTGAAATAAACTGAAGCCCCCCCCGAAGGGTCCCTCCAACAGAAATGAACTGGAGCTCTTCTAAGCCGGCGCTTCCTTCCCCATCCTCAGGGTCCAGAAGGGAAGGAGAAGAGCAGTGCGTGTGGAAGCAGCCCGGACACACTCTCTCATACACACTCATGAACACACACACGAGCGCGCGCGCGCGGAGACTGCAGCACCAAAGCAGGCAGCAGCGGCTGCAGCTGCATCCTCCACACGCTGAGAGGCTCTAGAGCAGCAGGAACCATCGCGATATTTCCGCACAGCTGATGGAAGGAGGGATGGAGGCGGTTGTGTTTGGAGGCTCGGGGCGCGAGGGAAAGAAAAAAAGGGTGAAAAAAAAGAAAAAAAAAAAAGGAAAAAGGAATTGGTAACGTGACGGAGTGACGTCATCGGAGGTGTGCTAAAAACCCATTTTCGCGCGTGCGTGCGTGCGCGCCCGTGTGTGTTGTCTGTGTTTGAGTGTGCGTGCGCGCGCGCCCGTGTTATTTTTGAATGTGCACTACACTAATATGTGCAGGCGCACGCGCGAGTGTGACTGTTTTCTGCGCTCTTGTGTGTTTTCAGTGATTATGCGTGTGTGCGCGTGCGTGTGTGCGTGCCTTCATCTCCTTGGGGGTCCGAAATGATGTGGGGTGCTGCACAATAAAGACTGTAAAACATCTCATGGTACAAAGTAACATAAGCCATCTACCGTTCTCTCTCACCGCACGCACATTGTACCTCTTGAAAGGAGAAGTCCACCACTTTTTCAAAATTGCTGCACAGTTTAGTGGTTAAGATGTAAACAAAGTCATTCAGAGTGGTTTGGAGTGAAATGGTTGATTGTAGAGAAACTTACAGACTCAGATTTCTTTACAGTGGTGGGGATAGGAACCAGGGGTCACAATAAGTGCGTTTACACGCACTCGATAATCCGATCATAATCGGATTTCCGCAGTTATCTGGTTATTCAAATGGTCGTGTAAACAGCATACTCTGATCTAGAAATCTGATTAAGAAATCCAATAAAGAAAGCTGGATTTTAGCCCAGTGATCAGATTTATCAGTGTATGTAAACTCTGACTCTGATTTCTTTCGGATTTCTCAGTCTGCGCATGCGTGGAACAGGCCGCTGTGCTGGAAATAAGCGAGCAGCATAGCTATGAGATGGTGGCAAAACGCTTTTGGAGCGACGCTCAAACCAGCTAGATGCCTGACAAAATAAACGATTTCAAAATTCTTCATCTTCTAGTTGATGTATGTTCATATTTTAGGTAAAGTGGTGCGATGTTTAAAAAGAAAAGCTGCGGTATGAAGTTCGAGTTATGTTTATATTATGTTTACGTCACGTCTTCTTCTGTGAGTTTATTGGCTGGTTGCAAAGCAGAAATCTGATCTACATGAGTCAGTACTAACTGACTCGTAGACCTGGAGTTCCCCATTATCTGATTACTCACATGCATATAAACGTGTTGATTGGATTATTGACAAAATCTGATTTTCTGCAGTTATCAGATTACTAAGTGCATGTAAACACACTCAATGTCTACAGCACAAATATAGCCATTTTATTTACTATCCAAAACCACCAGTGAACCTACATGTGCTTTCAGAGTTTTATATGTAATATGATGATGGTAAAATAGTGATAAATCTGAAAGCTTTCCTCAGGGACTACTTTGTCACACAACAGTCTGCATGTATCCCTCCGCCATGAATGGATTTTAAAACAGGTTTTTCATTCCAAATCATTGTCTCAGATCTACCATAAAACAGACAGGGGATCAGGCTGTCTGTAATAACGTTCTGTGAGGGAGCTTTTAGAGGTGGACGTCTGGTTCCTATCACCACCACTGTGAACAGTTCTGACTCAGTACGTTTCTCTAGAACAGAGCGTTTCAGACCAAACCGCTCTGAATGACTTTACGTCTTAATGATTTTTTTTACCAACTGAAGGAATACAGTTTAATAATGATAATAATGCTTTAATACAGTTGAAGACATTGTAATGTTCAGCACATCGTCTCAACGAGAGCTGCTCTGTAACTGAGCACAGAGAAGTCAGTTGTGTTTAAATCAGTGGCTGCCTCTAATTACTCATTACTGACTAAAGATCAGGAGTGCATTTCACACTTCATGAATTGTGGTTCCAAGTGGAATCTGATTTTTGTGTCTTGCAGTACACTTACTGTACCCTTCTTTAGCACAGCTATAAGCTATGATTTACATTCATGGGCAAATGTATGAGCTCTACCTACAATTTATGGCTCCACTATATGGACCACTTTACCGAATTCATTCAAACTGCAGTCCCACAGTAAAAAGCTATTTAAAAACAATTCAGAATCCAGACCTTAGATATTTACCCAGATTATGTTATGATCTATTTAAAGCCAATACTTTAATAGATGTAGTAATAAGCTAAATTTATGGAAAATCATCATTTATAGGCTGCGTTCAGTTAGGAGGTGTCTGTCCCAAATCCTATCCCCTAAATATACAGTTGTGAAAATAATATTTACATTTTTGGCTTTTTTTTCATCATTGTTTTTAAAAGGATCTTTTTGATTTCTTTTGAAGTGAAGTTGAAAGACTTAGATTTGTAATGAGTTTAATTTCTAAATTAAACAGAACTTAATAAAAAAAAAAATCTGTTCCACATTTTCATGTCACTACCGAAACACAAAGAGTATTAGTCAATAGGCGGAGCCTTATTTAACCCACGCCCCTGCATTTTAGGGCAGGAAGTGAGGCTGCATCCCTGTCCCTCATGGCCACATGATAAGCAGTTAGATCCCATTGTTTTTAAGTAAATGTGTCCCAAAGTCTGAAAATCAGTGTGAATCATTAAGAATTGTCACCACCGAAACATATTTTCTGCAAATCATTCAGTCATGTTGTGTTTTAATGAGAAATCTGATGATTTTATGTGTGTACAACCGTTCAAAGCTGTGTTTGCTGGTCATGTACTGGCTTGCATTTCTGAGTTCTGCTCAAAACGAGCTAAAATTGTCACGACCGAAACGATCATTACTGAAAGATAAAGGTAAAGTTTCAGTACTGCTGTGATTGTTTTGGCAGTGAGAACTTTGAATGCTCAATCATTAGTTTAATCATAATTAAGGTTTAGGGCACTCAAAGCAAAAGGATTTGAATCCCTGTAAAAGCCCAGAATGTGTTTTCAGAATGTGCTGTAGAATTATTTATATAGATGTCCAGTTATATCCATGCCTGGATCTACCATATAGGTGGCCTGGGGGACTGCCCAGGGGCACTCAGCGACTAAGGGCACCACACTTCATGTATATTTATGTTCAGTTTGTTTCAAAACTGTTCACAGGCCAAACTCAGTCTGTCTAATAATCCAGCCATAAACATCCAATCAGCACAGTCGTTATTTATGCCCTATGTTTCATCGGCAGTGATGTCAATGTGCATAAAACACAAAGAAAAATAATCACTTTGGCATCTTATTTGATGTTTATTGTGATGTTACTGATCTTTGCAAGTGAGATCTGCATTTATTTTGTAAGACCTTAGCTGAGGAGCTTCGAGTGCTGATCTCCAATACAACTATTTCAAGGTTTGCTGACAAACCTTTTTTTCTGAAACAGGTAGTTCTGGTCCTGAAATCTGCTATTGCAAAATACTTAACATGTTCACAGGTTGCTCTATAAATCCAGGCTGAATCTCAGATGGTACCATTTCTTTCTCTTTCCCTTCTTATATAGAGCACTAGTTCACTTCTATAATTCTGGCTTCTACACTCAAATCATTCATGGTTTTTTCAGCACTGAATTGTGCACTGAATCCCAAATCATGGCTGAATCCCAAATGACTATTTGTTAGATATGTTATGCACTGTTTTGGTGCAGGAGCCAATATTTTAATTCCTACATAGTGCACTATGCAGGGAGCAGGGAGCCGTTTGAGATTCAGCCCCAGCATGAAGACATTAGCATTTTCGTCATGGTGGTAATTTGACAGCATTAAACGCTGCTTTATTATTATATGTTCATTATTATATGAGAAAATGTTGAAAAGTTCATGAAATGACAGCAGTATATGATGATGGGCAATTTGGCCTCTTTCAGCAGTCCATGATTGCTTAAAAAACAACATTACAAGAACTACATTTCTTTGTGGAATAATAGTTCATTTTGATTATTATGAAAAATAACATGATTTATTTTAAAAAAAGTGTGCTTTATCATATTTTCTGCAGTCTGCAGTTTATAAAAGCAATAAGACACCCTTACCTGTGATAAAATCACTGTAATGCACGGCCTCTTGCAGCTTTAGCTTTATTTTGTGGCACTGCTATTTTTCCTTCACTGCTTGTGACTAATTATGAAGGACAAATGTCTTTTTCTCAAACGAAAACAATCAAAAATGAACTAGGGAGCTCTGTTTTCCAGAACAGACAGGGTGTGAATACTGAATGGTGCAATTCTTGTATATTTTGGCCTCATACTGCTTTAGTGATGAGGTCAGTTGGAATTGGGTGTGAGTTATTATAAGAGCTTTATGTTCCTAAGGATGGGGCACCATAGCTCTAATGTGCAGGGGCATCAGAGGATCTTAATCTGGGCCTTATTATAGACTGCAGCCCATCTGTTGCTGCAGAATTGATCAGCCCCCCTTTTACCCCATTCATTATCAGTCAGTTTCTGACCACAGGACGACTGTTTGTCCAGATATTTGGATAGTGGACAGTTCTGAGCACTGCAGCGTATTTGTATTTGTTTATTCAACTGAAGCAGGCTGTAGTGCAGCTCTCATACATTCTGAAAGTATCTCTAGATTCGTTGTGTTGCTTTGGCTTCCACTGTTTGCACCGTTTGTGTTGTCACCCTGGATACGAGCGTCTGCTAAATGGCCGAGAGTAAATGTAGGAGCTGCAGTGATAGTGGTATCCAGCCTGTCCAACACAAGGACATGTAATGGATAGTTTGGGGTAATGTTGGTAGACACTGCTACACTGAATGAATTCATGAATCTCAATGGTCCCCATCTTCACAGGGAAAACTATTAAAATCACTTCAAGCAAATGTTGCCATCTTGTGGAGCTTCATTACTATTACAGAATTAAACTCACGACAGTGAACAGAGAAAAACAGAGATAAGACAAGACTGAGCTACAGATATAGATAGATAGATAGATAGATAGATAGACAGATAGAAGGACAGACAGACAAGTAGACAGACAGATAGATAGGCAGGCAGGCAGGCAGGCAGGTGGGCGTATGGACGGATGGACAGACGGACAGATAGATAGATAGATAGATAGATAGATAGATAGATAAGCAGACAGACAGATAAACAGGCAGATAGATAGCCAGGCAGGCAGGCAG